GAATTTATATATTCTAGATAAAGTCACCTATCACATATGATTAGCACATATTTCCTCCTGTTTTGTTGGTTGTCTTCTCATTTTCTTGGTAGTGCCCTTTGAAGCACAAAACCACCTTTTAATTTTGGTAGAGTCAGATTTATCTTAGTTTTCCTTTCTTGCTTATATTTTTAGTGTCATATCTTAGAATCTAGCACCAAATCTGAGGTCATGAAAATTTACCCCAATGCTTTCTTTTAAGAGTTTTATAGCTTTACCTCTTATATTTAGGTCTTTGGCCAATTTGAGTTAATTTTTTGTGTATGGTATAAGGTAGGGGTCCAATTTCATTCTTTTTGCCTATGGATTTCCAGTTGTCCCAACCTGTCAAAGGCTGGACTAGAAATACTGCTTAGAGTTTTGAGTTTGACATCACTTAACAGGAAAAGTAAACTGTAAACTAACAAAACTTACCCTTTTGGGGACTGATTACCTGTGCCATCATTCCTTTTTATGACCAAATCATATTCATCGGTACAGATACACTACAATTTGTTTATCCACTCACTGGTTGACAGACACTTATGTTCTTTCTACCTGTTGGCTGTTGTGAGTAATGCTGCTATGAACATTCAGGTACATGGTTTTGTATGGACAAACATTTTTATTTTGGAGCTTACATACCTGGGAGTGGGATTGCTGGCTCATGGTGACTCTATGATTCACTTGGAGGAACAGGCGGATTGTTTCCTGAGGTAGCTGAGCCATCTTACACTCCCACCAGCAGTGATTGGGGGTTGCAATTTCTCCACATCCTCGTCAACACTTGTTATTATCTGACTTTTGTATTCTAGCCGTCCGCATGAGCCTGAAACAGTATTGCATTGAGGCTTTGATTTGCATTTCCCTCATGAATAATGATGTTGCGTGTTTTTCATGTGTGAATTTGTGTATCTTTTTTGGGGGAAATGTCTTTTCAAATCCTTCACCCAGTTGTTGTTGTTTTTTAACCCTCATCCAATGATATGTTTTTATTGATTTTTGAAAGAGAGAGAGAAAGGAGAGGCATCAATGTGAGAGAGTAACATCGATTGGTTGCCTCCTGTACTGTGGGTTCCAAGACAACGCACTTCTTAGGCGTGTGACAAACCCTTTCTGTTTACGAGTCCAAGTCCTTGCTCTTCCATAAATGTGACTGGGGATTGAACCTGCAACCTAGGTATGTGCTCCAACTGGGAATCAAGCCCACAACCTTCT